CCCCCTTATAAATAGGAGGGGAGGACTTCCCATTGAGGGGGCTCTCTCTCGGTCTCCCTCTCCCTCTTTCTAGAAAATATGTAAACACATCTCTCAAAAGAGAGAAGAGGATCTGTGATCCAAAACCTTCATCAGATCCAAAAAGGGTCCAATGGTTCTTGTATTTTGTCTATCATTCATCTTTATCAAATGAAAGAAGATCCGACTAACTCAAGATCGGGTGAATCTTTTCCTTTATCTACATTTTATTGCCATTTAATGTTATTCAATGCATCTTTCTTTATGTTATTAAATCTGGCTATAATTACGCCCAATATTTATACTCGGCTATGTTTTTCTACTCATATTATTCGTCTCGGATCTAGAGTTAATTATCTTTAACTAGGATTTACCCCTTCATCTATTTGATTGATTTGCTTAAAAAGTGTTAAACAACTTTTGAGTCAAACAGAACTAAATTGAGCAAGGTTAGTTAGAACAAACTGCTTGCAATTTCAGCTCCATGTGACATACTAATGAATAATAACTATTTTGTTGTTTGTTTCTTTAGGCTGGCTTTGCTGGGGATGATTCTCCAAGGGCTGTTTTCGAAAGTATAGTTGGTCGTCCTCGTCACAATGGCGTCATGCCTGGAATGGGGCTAAACGACTATGTTGGTGATGAAGCTCTGAATAGAAGAGGTATTTTGACTCTGACATATGCCGCTGAACATGGTATCATAAGAAACTGGGATAATATTGAGAAACTCTGGCACCATACCTTTTACAATGAACTCGGTGTTGCTCCAGAGGAGCATCCCATTCTTCTGACCGAGGCACCATTTAACCCCAAGGCTAACCGAGAGAAAATGACTCAAATCATGTTTGAGACATTCCATGTGCCAGCCATGTATGTTGCGATCCAGGCTGTTCTCTCACTGTATACTAGTGGCCGTAAAACTGGTAAGACGAAGATGGAATACCAGCATAAACTGGTTGTTTGCTGTTTTAATTAGTCACTAATTTTGTTTGTTGTTTTGCAACAAGGTATTGTGATTGAATCTGGTGATGGGGTGAGCCACGTTGTCCCCATCTATGAGGGACATGCACTTGCCCATGCTATCTCGCAGTTATTTCTTAGTGGTCGTGATCTTACAGAGTATCTCATTGTATTGGGTGATGCCCTTTTTTGCTTGAGCCCGACCGGGTTGGGTCCGGTCCGGAGCAAGTCGGGGCCATCGAACCCGACCTGGATGCAAGGTAGAACGACGGCCACGTCTACAACCGAGGTCGAGTCATTTCGAGACCGTTACAGAGCTCGAAAGGAGTCACCACCGGATGGAGAAACACACAAGGTCGGAAGCCGGACTCGTAACGGATAACCAAGCGTCGCCGGATATCTCGCCCAAACGTGATTTTCTCAACCACTTCAGGCCATTAAGGCGTAATTACAGGGATCCACGATGTAATCAATTTACCTACCTTATTTTT